CAATGTGAGTCAGCCGTCAGAAGCTAAAGTGTAGGTTTGTCAGCAGAGAAAGTCACTTAGTGCTGGGGAGGGCAGTAAATACTGTTTCTGGGAAGGACATTGGTGGTTGCAAACTCTAAAGTCTTGACTGAGGAAAATAATGCTTGATGAAAAATACTAAAATCATAATACATGAGTGTTTACTTCTATTTTTCAATCCTCATGAAACAGCGTAAGTAATGACAGCGAAGGTTTCCTCCCAAGAAACAACAGAGCACATTGCAAAGAAGAAACACCACTTCCTCTCTCAGCTCCTGCTCAGTCTGCTCCTCAGCCCAGGCCACGGTTGCCATGCCGTCCTTCAGTCATTTTGAACTATACTCGCTTGCGGGTTTCTTACTTCCCCAAATTACATATTAACTTTATTTTCTAAGTTGTCATATAGTAAGTGGGCTTTTTTGGTGTACAGTTCTGTGATTTTAGCATATGGAGATTTGTGGGACCACCACCACAATCAGGGTAGTGAACATTCCTTCACCCCCAAAATGCCCTATCTGGTGGCTCTTTATAGCTACACTCTCTCCAGACTCCTAACCCCTGAAAACTACTGATCCGTTTTCTGACCCTACACTGCTGCCTTTTCCAGAATGTCACAGGAATAGAATCACTCCACACAGGGCTCCTGGGATCCCCTACATGGCAGTGAACCAAATGTCACCCCTGTGTCGTGCTGACTAATACTTCCCGGCATGGACACACCACAGTGTGTCTACTCATCCACCCCTGAAGGACATTTGGGCTAAGATTTGGCGATGATGCATCAAGCTACCATAAACATTCCTGCACAGGATTTTGTGTGAACTTAAGTTCTCATTCCTCCAGGATAAAGCCCTGGGAGCGGGACTGCTGGTCATATGGTAAGGCATGTCTAAAGGTTCAAGAAACTGCCACATTTTTCCAGAGTGGCTGCACCACTTTGCATTCACACCAGCAACGTATGAGTTCTGGCTGCTCCACATCCTCTCCAGCACTTCGTATTGCCCATTTTCCATTTGAATCATTCTAACAGGTGTGTAGTGGTATCTCGTTTGGGTTTTAATTTCTATTTCCCTAATGGCTAATGATTTTGAGCATCTTTTTATGTGCTTATTGGCCATGCTGAAATCCTCTTCAGTGAACTTTCTTCCATTTTTCAATTGGACGGGTTGTTTTATTTTCTTATTTTTGAGTTTTGAATATCTTTATATGTTCTGGATACAAGTGTTTTTTTTTTTTAGAATTTTTATTTTATTAAAAAAATTTTTTTAATTGCAGTAACATTGGTCTATGACATTATATAGCTTTCAGATGTCCCTCGTAAGGTATTTTAAATTCTGTGTGGATTCCATCACGTTCACTGGCTACAGGTTCTTTGTCAGCCATGTGATTCGCAAATATTTTCCCCAAGTCTGCAACTTGTCTTTTCACTCTCTTAGCAGTGTCTTTCAGAGAGTAAACATTTTAAATTTTGATGAAGTCCAATTTACCAATTTTTTTCTTTTGTGGATCATGCTTAGGGTGTCAAGTTGCTGTGCACATTTTAAGTCTGAGAAAGTGACAGGACAAGGGCTGGTTGTCCTGACATCGAAGTCTGGGTAGAGGGAGGGCCTGTGTGTGTAAGGACCACAGAAAGACACCCAGAGACCTGGCCGCAGGGCTGGCCCTGCACTGCCAGGTGGAAAATGCCACCCAGGAAGCTGAACTGAACTGAACACCAGGTTTCTCTTCAGGAAAATTAGAGGGTTTGACTAAATAACTTAAAATTTTTTCTTCCTACAATTATGTGATTTTTAATAGCTCTTTTTACTCTGGAGACTCGAAACATGTCACGAGCTTTGTCTGGGCCCATATGGCTCAACAAACAGGAGCAGGGCACAGTCTGGAGCGGCCACCACTGTGCTGAGTGACCAGGAGGGGAGAGGACAGCACAAACCTGGGCCATCCAAGATGGAGGGAGAGCTGGGACGCTGTCCAGCACGGAGACAGAGGAGTGGGCTGGCTTCATGCTTCCGGCTGCCCTGCCTAACGGGAGAGGACAAACCACTCCGTCCCCTTCACCGGGAGCTCCAGAAATACTCACAGGGAGGCAAAAGGAAAACAAAATCAAGACAACTTTAAACCAAGAACTGTCTGAATAGGCCACCAGCAGCAACCTAGCTCTGATAAACTGTAATTTTGTTGAAATTTTCATGGATATGGTTTATTTGAGAAATTACATGTATGTGGCAATGCACAGCATGGGTAATGGTACAGGCAATGGAGCATTCTATAACTCAGAAACGGAGGGGAAATAAAGACCCGAAAGACAGGGTATGGCAAAGACTGGGAAACGGAGTTCTAACGGAACAGTTTTGCAGAGCTGTGACATCTCGTCACGGAACCAAACCAAACAGACTGGGTGACCAGACGGATCTAGTATTTTCTTATTTGTTAAAATCCTTTTCCATGTGCTGTTTCTCGATGATGACATGATCATTTAGCATTGGTAAAAGGTCTTCCAGGTCACAGCCCTTCCTGGAGGTAAAAGTGGCTTAGCACATGGAGGAGATGCTCTCATGAGCAGTGGCGCTCTGCGCCTGCCTGTCTCTGGAAGAGAGTGTGTGGGTTTGGCCAGGACGTGAGCAAACATGGAAGACCCCTTAAAGGAGAACACCTTAATGCCTGTGTTGCTCGGCCCGCGTGTGCCCCAGCACGGCCCTCTACTTCCCGACCACGAGTATGCCGAGTGAGCAGGGTCTACAGAGCGCAGACGGGAAGATGGAAATTTGCCGTGCTGCTCACCCATGTTTTACAGGTGGTCAACAACAGTGCTCTCAAAGCTATCACCAGACTGCACCGTGGCTCACGATTTGTAGAGAACCAGCAAACACCTGTGCCTGGAGCAGCATGTACACAGTAAAGAGCTGTGAGAAGAAGGAAGCAGACAACCAGTTTACTGGTGTGAGATGGATGGTGATGCGTGTCCAGTGAGACTCTGGAACTTGCGCCCTCACTGACCACTGCAAACTCGACAACGCTAAGGTCCGCGGTCCCTGCTCTGGCCACTGCGTCTGCGCCAGGCCAATCACCTTGTATCCGCTCTGCCTGATGTAGCACACATGGCTCCTCTGGACACAGCTTTAGCACTGGTTCTCAATCACGACCCGCAAAGCTGTCGCTACTTTGAATCCAGCTTGCCAGCACCCTCACCTGTCAATACACCTCAACCTCTGCTTCAGCCAATGTTGCCTTTCTTTTTTCGTTGTTGTTTTTTGTTTTTGTTTTTGTTTGTTTTGGGTTTTTTTGGAGGAAGACTGGTCCTGAGCTAACATTCGTGCCCATCCTTATCTACTTTACATGTGGGACGCCTACCACAGCATGGCTTGCTAAGCAGTGCCATGTGTGTACCCAGGATCTGAGCTGGCGAACCCCGGGCCGCCAAAGTGGAACGTGCGAACTTAATTGCTGCGTCACCGGGCCGGCTCCTAAGGTCACCTTTCTAACAAAGACTTCTAAGTCTCTGTCAACTATGGGCTGGTTTTGTGATACCCAAGACCTACTCTTGAGCAGAGGGACTCCAACCCTTTCCATTTGCCCTGCTGGCACTGATCGATATTATGTGAATTCTTTCTTGCCACAGCATCCCATTTTGCTGGTGAACAAATGCATCCTAAAATAAACAGATGCAGTAACCGGTCATCTGATTTCCTTAGATATTTACTCAGAATTTAAAAGGAGAAATTATATTCAATGAATTGTCTGCAGGTATCCTAATTATATTTGTTGACTCTTCCTTTTAAATTTATTTCTACATGTATTTTACTTGTCTACATTCTTATAAAAAAAATTTTAAAAGATAGAAAAAATGGAAGTCAATTAACACTGCTTCTCTCCCCTCCTTTCTCCAAATTCTACTTTCCTATCAAGACCAGAGTGAACTACAATTACATCATTTCATGCCCTTTTTATGTGTATTCACACACACACAGAGATGCATTGTCTTAAGAACACTCTCGGTGTCCTACCGTGTGCATTGGGCTCAACTGGCCCTTCTCACTTAACAACATCCCACGTCAGTACAAGGTTAGCTACACACTCTTTGCATCTGCCGTCTAGCGAGCAACCCCCAGTAGGAATGTACCGCGATCAACTCCATCGGGCCCCATCGGTGGACATCCAGGCATAATGCTCATATGTTTCCCCTGACATGCAGGCAAGTCTTTTCCTAGAAGAGAAATCTAGAAGTAGATTTGCCTTTCGTATCTAATTTAGTTAAATTCAGGCCTTAGCTGTTTTAACACATGATTTTGTAAAACAAAACTTAGAAAACAATTATCTTGTATGTTACTTCTAGAAGAAACAGGGTTCAGAGCAGAAGGGTTTAAGAACAACCCCCTAGAGGAACAGGATGAGTCAAATGAACACACAAAGAAACAACACACACAGGTGCGGTGTAGAGCCGTGAGAGTGTTTCGGACGGACAGAGGCTCACAGCAGCAGGCGGACAGGCCGGCCCACGGACCCAGAGGGCGAGGAGAGGCCCTGGGGCTCCAACGCGCCAGGAAGGACACCTCCTGCCGGCACCGCCCCACCTGCCCTGCCACAGAACAGGGTGGGGGTGGAAGGCTGCAGGATATTAAAGGGTGTGTTGAAGATCAGGTGCACACGGTACCGCAAGAGGCCTCTGCAGCCACGGAGCAGACATCTGTATGTGCAGTGAGACGTTTTTGCTTCAGCTGAGTGTTGGGAGTATTTTTAAATGTTCAAAAGGATTCAGCTTTTTATTCTTTTCTTTTAATATGGCCCCACATTTAGCTATGTCCTACACTAAGCCCTAATGTAACAATCACAAATATGGCCTTAATCAGAGAACAAAAGAACACACCCACAAGAAAGAGACGTCCCCATGCTAACAGGAAGTATGTCTGAGAATCACAAGCAATAAAAGGAGGAGACTCCCCCTCAGACCCAGAAAGCCTCAAGAGCTTAAAAATCCTACTTACTTTTCTATTAAATCCAGTGTGACTCCAGGCACCAGACTAACACACTTCTGCATGCAAAACCTGCAGAGAAAGAAAAGAGAGTGAATCACACTAACGGGACACTTAACAGGAAAATGCAACAGGCCCTCAGAAAAAGTAAAGAGACAAAGCTGGGATGGGGACTGCAGGGTGAAAAAGAAGCCCAGGTTTCCTTAATTCTGGCAGCTTTTAGATTTATGAAGACAATCTCACTGCCAGCCTTTCACAGGCGCAGGACCACACAGCTGCATCAGTGAGTTTTCAGCAGATGGAGAGAACAAGTCTTCAGCGACATGGAGCAGAGCCCCCACCCAGGGGTGGGTGGTAGGGGGCAAGGAGCGGCGACGTGAAAGGAAGCTCTCCCCCAAACAACGGACAGACTGGACTTCTCTTCCTTTTTTTCCTTCTTATGAAAACAAGCTGAGGAGAATGACAGGAGAATCAGTGAATAACCTCCAGGCACACAAAATAAATTTGTGGGAGAAGACAAAGAAAAGTGAGTTCAATGCTATCATTTTAATTATCCTAAAATCACAGGCGTCAGAGCCGAGAGACTTAACATCCTCAGGCAGGGCCATCCTGGAGGGCTAGGATGGGACTGCGACCATCCTTCTTCCCTCCCGTCAGCGCTGCTGGCACCAGCAAGACAGAATCAATGGTAACACAGAGTAACAGGGCAACTCAGTATTTTTAGGGGGAGACATGTAAAGTGTTTAATTCACCTGCTTTACAAATTTAGAACAAATAATCCCCTCTACAAAACAGCGGCAGGCACACAGCAAACACACCTGCAAAATGCATTTCCATGTATCTCTGGCTGGACAAGAGAAGGGGAGGAAGATGGGAGAAGGCCAGTGGGCCCAAGGGAGGGGACAAGTACAAGGACCAGGACTCACTCCGGGAGACATGGAGTGACGCATGTGAGGTGGGTGGGAAAGAGAAAGACAGGAGTATCAAGAGACTCAGAGGTGGAAAGACAACAGACAAGGCTGTGAGGACGGTGTCTGGTGGGCAACTGGCTCCTGACAGGGTGGTGGACACGGAGCTGGCTGCTGGTGACCCCTGGGCTCCAAGCCTGGCCAGGCTCACTAGCTCAGGAAGCAAAGCCTCACTCAGCCAGCAGAGAGGAAGTGACCTCCCTGGTGGTGGCTGCCATACCAGTGTTCTCTCATTCAGAGAGCAGAAGAAACGAAAGTGCTGGCCACGTTTGCCTGACGCAGAGAGCAGCCATCTCCCGTGGGCACAAGGGCTCAGCACCTAGACACTCCATCAGTGAGTCAATTCCACTTGGAGCCAATCCTTCTGCCGGCTCCACCTTCAGATAGCTCCGCCCGGCCTGCTCCCATGCACCGCTGCACCATGCACATGCAGCACAGTGCCGTGTAAATCAGAATCACCCAGTGGATAAAATACTCTACAGGAAATACGTTTTCCAGTCTGACTTCCATGCAGACTGTGCTACTTGGTGGTTTGTCTTTTTGTCTATAACACACTTATTGATTGGGACTTCTGGATTCCAGTAATGACAGAATAATTTGTAAGACTAATTCTTTTGCCAATAACAATAATAAGCTCTGGACAAAGTATAAAAAACAACCATTTGAAAGCACTAAAGAACAAATAAATACAGGCAGAAATGGAAGGGATATCACCCTTAAAAGAAGACTAACTCTGGGTGAGATCCACCTTTATCCAGCTTTTCCCACAGGTACTCCCCAATTCACATAGCATGTGGGGGTGGCGCTCAACTGAAAAGCAACTGTCTTATGGGGTGAGGAGTCAGAGATCAGCACTGACGCCTGCCGGAAACTTCGGGGGGAAGTCTTAGGAAGGAAGGAGCCAAAATCTGCAAGCAAGCTCTCCTGGAGTCCTTGGCTGACTCCCGCCCTGCACACACGAGATGAGACTCCAAGGAGCCCGGTGGATACAACATCTGAAAGGCTGAAGGTGCTGAGCAGAGATTTCAACACCTGCTCACCAGTGTGCCCAAAGACAGGGAGAACCAGCCAGCCAAATTAGAGGGGCTTGATCAACACCTGGGGCCTTCCACTGACACCCCAGAGGGGTCATGCCTTAGTTACAGCCACACTCCAGGATTCGGAGCCACACTCCAGAACTAAGAGCAAAGCCAACAGAGATCAGTCCTACAACCAAGCAAGCACAAGAGCAATTAAACAGCCTGGGAGAACAGAGCTAAACACTCTTCAGAGGAAAACAACAGAATCCAGAGTTTCATAATGTCTCATCCACAATGGAGAGTATCCTATATAAAGTCAAGAGAAAAAAGTTAGTAAAACAGATTCATAGTCGGCCAGATTTTGGAATTAGCAAAGACTTTAAAATTATAGAAATAACTTAATTATTGACTGGGAAATGGCATTATTATAAATCCACTGAAAACATCAAGTTCCATTAAACAGGAAATTAAAAATAGGGACAACATGCAACTTTAAAATATTCATGGTATGGTTCTACACATAAGAGCAGCATGGATAAATCAGTCACTGATAATCCACACATTTTACATCAGCAATAACATGGATTCCCTCCACACCAGAATTGGCAACAGCTGGTTTTGTTGCTCACGGTATTCTCTCCTTCCTCCATACAAGAGCGCTACTGGGCAGTGAAAGGCCGAAGAGCAGGCCAAAGAAGAAGTAATAAAAACGGCTCAAAAACCTCCCCAAACTGGACGTTAATCATTATAACAATCGACACAACAGCTGGTGCTTCTTCAGTGCTTACTGCCTGGTCCTGGTGATGGAGCGCATAAAGAGGCTGGGGCCACGTGTGACTCCTCTTTGTCCGACACACCACTTCCAAACAGCGGACGGATCCCGTCTGCTTTATGTCAGTTCCACGGCACCTGACATGCTCACCTCCTGCCTGCTGACCCTCCAGGCCAGGGTTTCTCAGCCAGGCGCTGTGGACACCCAAAATCCTAAGATAACTGTCACCATTTTCATATTTACCTTTTACAAAAAGTTGAATCATGTTGATTTTGTTCTAGAATAAAGGAACTCACAGTCACTGCAAAATCCCAAACAAGACAGACACGTGTAATGAAAAGAGAGTCCTCGCTGCGCCTCCCCCATCAACTGCGCAGAAGCAGCCACGGCCGACAGCTGAGACGCCCCTGTGCTGCCCGTGCCCGGCGTCCGTGGCCAGCCATTATCTGCACTCCGCTTTTGTTAGCTTTTTGTTTCTCACCACAAGAGAACTGTGCGTACACACTACACTTTTTTTTTTTAACATTTCTTTTCCAACATTTTCCAACATTCAACAAAGTTGAAAGAATTTTACAGTGAATACCTATATCCCACCACCTAGGTCCCACCGTTGGCATCTGCCTACGTTTCCTTTATCACCTCTCTGCCTCTCCATCTGTTAATACAACTTCTCTCCGGTGCAAGTGAAGTTACGGCACACTTCCCTCTAAATTCTAGATCTCAGTATTTGTATATTGTTTTTGTCTTCTGATGTAAACTAACTTACAATGAAGTGCACACATCTGAGTTGTACATTCATCGGGTTTTGATAAATGCATACACCTGTGTAACCCACATTCCTACAGAGACCGCTCCCAACATCCCTGGAAGTTTTCTCCTGCCCTTTCCCAGCCAATTCCTACTCCCTCCCCCTGCTCCCAGAGGCAAAAACTATTCTGATTTTTCCACTGATTAATTTCTGTTCTAGAATTTCATATCAGTGGAGTTGTCCCGTATGAACTTTTACAGAAGGCCTCTTCCAGTCAGCATAATGCATTGAGGTTTATCCATGTTTTCGTTTATATCGTGAATTTATTCTATTTTACTGCTGACTAGGATTCCATTATATGAATCTATCGCAGTTTACACATGCTGTTTTGTAACTTGCGCTTGTATATCATGGACAATATAAAAACCACTACATAGAACATTCCCTTTTCTCAATACATGAATGAATCCTGTCTGTATGAACACTAAGTTTGTTGTCCTCAGGATACATTCTTAGAGGTGGAACTGCCTGATAAATGGGTGCACATGTGTTGAATGACTATCTGTTCTTCGATGGCTCTCCAGAAGGCAAGTGTCATTTACTGTCTCACCAAGGCTGAATATACCTATTTTTTTTACTTCTTGCCAATACTGGGTTTATCAACATAAAAACAAAACAAGCAAAAAACTTCTGCCCAGCTGATAGGTGAGAAAAGACACATCACTTGAATTTCTCTAATTATTACTGTGGTTAAATGCCAGCTAATAATTTTTTTGGTTCTTTGCATTTTTTGGTTTATTTGTAGCCTGTTTATGCCCTTTGCATTTTTCTTTTTTTTCCCTAAAGGTCGGCACCTGAGCTAACAACTCTTGCCCATCTTTTTTTTTTTCCCCTGCCTTTTCTCCCCCAATCCCCCCAGAACATAGTTGTATATTTTTAGTTGTGGGTCCTTCTAGTTGTGTCATGTGGGACGCCACCTCAACATGAGCGGTGCCATGTCCGTGCCCAGGATCTGAACCGGCGAAACCCTGGGCCGCCAAAGTGGGGCTCATGAACTTAACCACTCGGCCACGGGGCCGGCCCCAACCTCTGCATTTTTCTACTGGGGTACTCATCATCCCAATGATTTTAAGAGTGTTTTACACATTAACAGAAGTAACCCTTAGTCATATGTTACACAATTTTTCTCAATTTATAATTTTACGTTAAATTCTATTTTTTTTTGGTCAAACAAAACTTAAAGTTTACCTTTAAAAAAGCTATCACTCCCTTTATGGCTCTTTCATTCTCCTAACTGATAATTTTTCCAGTACTTTTTGTGAGTTTTCTTTTTTACATTTAAATCTTGGCATGTTTGAAAATTATTTTTTTTTAATTATTATTTTTTTTTGAAGAAGAAGATTAGCACTGAGCTAACTGCTGCCAGGCCTCCTCTTTTTGCTGAGGAAGACTGGCCCTGAGCTAACATCCAGGCCCATCTTCCTCTACTTTATATGTGGGGCGCCTGCCACAGCATGGCTTGCTGAGCGGTGCCATGTCCCCACCTGGGATTCAAACCGGTGAAA